CTCTATTGCTTACATACAATATGCCAAATCGCGCAACGGACTGCCTAACTGAACGAATCAACCGCATCGCCGGGCCTATGATCTAGTCTGGCACAGACATGGGAGCAGAATTCGCGTTCGCTGAACCTCAACCACCAGCAAAATGTTGCAAAAGACTCGGGCTAGAAGAGGCATGGAAGCATGAAGCCGCCCTTTGTAGACGGAGCCCAGTCCCGCACCCGACACGTCCGCATCTGGCCTGTGGTTCGTCGCGATCGCCCCTCCAAGGCGGACGAACCGGAAGAGATCGCTCGGGTGACGGGCCGCAAAGTGGCACCTCCGTGTGTTTGGGTCCATGACGGCACGAACGTCATGCAAAACCTCCGGACGGGCCGGTATGCCCGGGCAGTTGGCAGAACCAGGTTATCCCCTGGGTGGGAGTTGAGAGAACTACACCCGCAACGACGGCGAACGGGAATCGCTCGTACGCTCGGGCGTCTCAACCCAGCCTGTACTCGACCCCGGAGTAGTTCTCCGGACTCATGCTATTGTTCGTTCGTTGGCCTCGTTTTCGACATTCTTGACGATGGAAGAAATGCATGCTTGACTCGTATCCCACCTCCTGGTCGAGTTTAGATCCGGTTTACAGACCGCCTGCTCATCCCATAGTTCTCACACAGGTTCGCGACGGAGCCAGGCTGGGTAGGTGTGTGAAGGGAAGTGTCGCTGGCTCATCGACCTTTTCACCATGTCAAAACTGAAGCTAGGTTTCCCATGAGCAGACCATTGAAGGAATATGTCTCTGTACGTAATGAAGTGCAACTTTTCATAGACCTGAAGCCCAGCAAAGGTAGAGAACCACCGGCCGAGAACTAAAGTAAAAAAAGACAATCTCATCCCAACGCCGAGTAGGTATTGTACAAAGATAAAGCAAAACACAACGCCAAGACCAGTCCATATGCCCCCCCTCCATGCAACCGCCGTTGGTCCAGCCTAATCCATCCGTAAGCCATCCTTGTTACGCCGGTCGTGATCCTTTCCTCTGAATCAGCACTACTGAAGATCCCATGCAATCGACAGCAGCGTGTCCAGTTCGCCAAACGTCCGCAATCTTCGTCATATTATACAAATCCAACAAGGCCAATGTAAGTGGTTGTGTGCCTTTCGATCAGCCATGTTGCTAGGGGCGTTTCCCGTCAACATCCTTAGTTGCGAGCCTTTGGCTTCGCCAGCATGTTGAGTCGGCTGAGACTCATACCGCCACGCTTCTTCGTGGGGCTCGGCGATTGAGCAACGCGAGGGCTCTGTAGCTTCTTGCCGATAGTGCCCGGGGTAGCGCCCATCAGTCTGGGGGCCAGGAGAGCATCGCCTTCGGGCACATGCTCGGCCTTGCGCCTCTTGCCGGCCCTATCGCCAGAATCCACCTCAAGGTCTCCTTCCTCTTCACGAGCTCGAGCCCGCTTCTTGTTGGTCATTCCGTGGGGCTTTCCAGCCAGAAACTGCATGGGAGATCTGTTCTCCTTGTTGGAGGTGAACTCGTGGCCAGTGGGGAAGCTGCCCGGCATGTCAAGCGAGGCCCGCACGTGACGGACACTGGCTTGTCCAGCAGTCGAACCGAAACCAGTAGGAGAGGCGCTACCGAATCGGATGGTGTGGTCGCTGCGGAAAGTGAATGTGCCAGGTACAGTCGGAGGCAGAGGCTTGATGCTCTCGCTGGCGTTCTCGGTCGCCTTCTCAGACGGGCTTCCAATATTGAGTTCGGGATACAGATTCTCGCCCTTCTTTCGCTGGGTAACATTGCCGTTTCCGAGCATGGCGTCGAGGCTGGGGTACTCAACCTCTCCATTCTTACGGATAGGGCTCATGCTTGCAAAGGCTCGGTGTGCAACGGTATTCGGAACATCAGCAGCTCGGTTAGTGTCCGGAGTGAAGTCGACTCTCTTAAACAACTTTCTTCGCGGAGTCGTGAATGGAACGGCGGGAATTGTCTTTTCTGCAGCCTGCGGTGCAGGAGTCTGGGAGATGCTAGCAGCGGGCTTGGGAAGAGCACTCTTCGTCTGGTTCAAGACTCCCTTTCCGCCACGAAGAATCGACTTGACTCTTTCGAAGCGACCGGGGCTCACAATTCGGCGTTTCAGCTCGGCCGTCTTCTCCAGCGCACCAAGGTTGTTGGTGGTGGCAGACTTTGTGAGGCCACCCAGATCAGGCTTCGAGGGCGACTTTCTGAGACTTCCAAGCTCGGGCTTTGAGGGCGACTTGACGAGCGATCCCAAATCAGGCTTGCTGGCTGACTTGGTGAGAGTGCCAGGCAAGGGCATCTTAGAACCAGCAGCACGAGCCAGGGAAGATGCAGTGGGGCTCGTGAGGGATGCCAGACTGGGCTGAGATCGAAGGCCAGCAGGCGCATCTGTTCCGCTTGACTTGGGGCGCGGGAGGGAGCTACCGTCGCGAGAAACTGGCCGAGCAGTGGTAGCATCATCCTCGAAGCGCTGTCGCATACGCTTGACTGACGAGGGCGGTTCAATGTTGGCAAAGATGCGAGACTTGGGTCGAGGTCCAAGAGACGACTTTGTGGAACTGTTGGAGTCCGCGTCATCCAGGTTGGCCTTGGACGGAGAGCGCTTGAGACTAGACTTCTGCTGCGAGGGTGTATCGGGGATGCCCAGGTTGATCTTGGACGGCTTCTTCAAGATCGACTTCGGGTGAGTGGGCGTATCGTCAACGTTCGGCTTGGATTGAGATCGCTTCAGGATAGATTTGGGCTGCGTCGGAGTGTCGTCCAAGTTAGCCTTGGAGGGCGATCGCTTCAGGCTAGACTTGGGTTGCGTAGGCGTATCGTCCAGGTTCGCCTTGGACTGAGTCCGCTTCAGGCTCTTGAGAGGAGTGACCCGGCCAGGCTGGGCTCGGAACGCTGAAGGATGACCTTCGATAGAGTCCATCTTCTTGAACTCGGCCATGTGGACAGCGCTGAAGCGGCCAGACTTGCCTCTGGCCTTGGCAATCCTGCGGCCGTTGATCTCTTCGTCCTCTCTCTCCAGCTCGCGCTTGGCGAGCAGTTCGGCCTTAATTCTGGCCGCCTCCTCACGCAGCTCGTTCATCATCTGCTGGGCATCGCTGCTCAAGCCATTGTCTCCGGTAGGCTGGGCGACGCGGAAGGTGAAGGGCGACTCGGGGACGCCCGTGGACTTGAATGGCGTCTTGGAAGGCGTCGCCTGAGGATCGGCCTTCTTGTCGGATGGGTCCATATCTCTGAAGCCGAGCCAGGTAGCGGAGGGAGGTGCTGCGGTGGGGTGAACCTTGCTCGGGTGCATTTCTGACAACGGGGCCTTGAGGTTCGAGTGAGAAGAGGGCGTCGCGGGGTCGTGATTCGGGACGACGAGCGCATTCAGACTCTCAGCGACCTCTTGAGCAGGAGGAGTATCATCGCGTTCGGCAACAGAGGCGAGGGTGGATTTGGCCTTGGGCTATAGATAAAGAAAAAAAAATTGTGTGAGTTAGGCGCCGCGCCGTTTGTTTACAGAAGCGGTCAAAGAGCGTAGCCTGTTTGCTTACCTTGGGCGTGTTGGTGCTGGCCAACCGGGCCGAACGACGGCGAGGTGGCGACGACATGTTGACTGTTTGCGAGTGAGAATCGTCAATTTCGTATGCGTGAATATCGGTGATGATCGAGAGGAGAGCGAAGAGACGGAAGAAGTCGAGCCAGCGAGTCCCTGGTTTGGAGGAGGAAGGGTTGATGATGTCAGGCGAGAGTGAAGTGGATGGGGGTTCCGGGCTGCGGTTGCGGTACGTAGAGCGCGACGGGGATATTTTGGAGAGAGGGGCCGCTTCGTTTGTTTACATTGCGCGCGGAGATCTAAGCTCTGATTGGATGACAGTTGAAGGACGGCCCAAGCTCTAGACCCCTTGGCTTTGGGACCTTTGGCGGGATGAAAGTGGGGGGCACAGTGAGAGTTCAGAGAAGCTATGCATTTCTACCCCCTTTTGGCTGCGATTTCACAGTGGAAATTTCGTGGTGCTTCTTCTCTTCACGATTACAGTACGCCCAGTGTTTACTTGGATGACCCTCGACGTGCTCCTCGTGGGTCAGAAAACAAGGGGAGCGCGTGGCTAGGGACCCACGGCCACTTATTCTCGAACCCTCTCTTGTTCCAAGAGAACCGGCGCATCTCATCTTGTTTGATCCATGGCATGATGGCATGTCGTATCCGCACACTGCCTATCGCCTATCTACCATAGCAGGCCTTCCACGTGCTCCCGTCTCTCTTATCTCAAGGAATGCGGTGCAAAGAGACCGTTGGATCTAAGCAATGCCGAAGGCATGGCCCAAGCCGAGCGTGAGCCACAATGGCCCGCTCGGAACTCAATTCTCGTCGGTATCTACTGCGCAGATTGAGACCGGTGCCAATTCCGTGGGGAACAGTCCCTGCCTCTGCTTCTCAGTTCTGGTTCTTGGCCTTGTCGGAGGGCTAATGTTCAGCGATACTTGAAATTCTCTTGCTTTCATGTTGTGTCGTAGTGAAATATGTCTGCAATGTTGCCTCGTACATAGGCTTCCACAAGCACATATTGACCTTGATCTTTATCACGCATATTACCATCAGAGATTAATTAGCGAACGCTTGCTTTCAAAGTTAGTACTCGGATTACACGATCTCACATCACTCTTGAAGTTAAAAATTAGGTCAATATGATTTCGAACATCATTCTTCGATGGCCATTATCTATAATTCCGAGCGGTCGTCGATGCGCTGCAGCAGATCCCAATCCAACCTGTTAGAGCCAGAGGCCCAATGCTCACGAGAGGTCCCAATGTTGAGCCACCTATCCAGTCTATAAAGTTGGAACCCGCACAGCCGTAGACCATTCCTATGGTAAAATGCATGTGTGCCCTGCCACCCTTGTCCATGCCCATCCTTGTTGAAATGTGTACCCGCCAATATAAACAAACATTCCTAAACGCCGACGATTGAGAGTGGTTTGATTTCTCATTTTGATGATCCTACCAATGCCATGCCGCCTTTTCAATGCGTAGAAGCGATGGCACCCGTGATGCCCAGCAAGGCCATTCCCATGAACCCAAAAAAGATGCAGAGATTCCGATTGTGGTTCAAACTCAGTGCCTCGACAAAGAGCTGAAGGCCGACGCTCACCATGATTCCAGCCGTTATGGCAAACATGCAAGCGTAAGAGACAGCATTCGGCGTGAGGTGAGTATGCTTCGCGAGTTTGAACCACAACACAGCAATGCCCGCACCCAGAGGCTGGCTAAGGCCACCGAGGATCGCGGCCCAGAACATAGCCCTCATGCGGCTCCCAAGCGCCATGTACAACGGCAGTGCCATGGCAAATCCTTCAGTGATGTTATGAACGAACAGGGCCATGAAGACATTGAAACCCAGTGCCGGATTTGCGTGGTTCGTTGCGTAGGTAATGAAACCCTCTGGGAACTTGTGAAGCGCAATGGCGATTGAAGTCTGCAAGCCAAGGGAGAGGAAGGCATTGGTAGGTACGTGATGATGATGTTGCGCCTCGACATCTTCGTCCGCGTGTTCGCCGTCACCGTGAGCGTCATGGTCGTGATGCGAGTGATCGTGGTCATGACTGTGACTGTGGTCGTCGTGGTGATGCGTCTCATCGCGCTCTGGCAGAGGTTCCCTCGAAGCTGCGCGGCTGGTTCGCATTGTCCCACTGATTGGAGAGTTACACGAGGAACCACCCTCTTCCAAGTCTTCCAAATCCGTATGGCTATGAGCGTAAAAGTGCCCTGTATTTGTGCGCAGGATAGCCGGAGGCTTTGATGTGGATGTCGAGCGGCTGCTCAGGTGCTTGAAGCATTCCTGACCACAAGGATCCGTGTATCCAAAGCATGGCCCCTCTTCGTCGCAATTCGTCTTCGTGTCTTTGACGAAGGACATGACCCGCTGTTGGACTTGGGCCATGGACGGTCGTCTATCAACGGTGGGGCCACGGCTTCGCGAGGTTCGGGTCGTGGGAGTAGCGTGGTTGGTGTTGAGGCTCAGGTTGCCCCTACTCGAGGCATGGCGCTTCGCCATGGGTGGTGCGCCGTTCTCGTGTGCAACCTCTCCATTCAGAAGGGGTGTAGACTCGGTGGCGTGGCCATTCTTTGCTATTCTTTCAACCAGCGGCCGTCGAGAAGAGCGGCGACTAGAGTTATACAAAGAAGTCTTTCTGCTCTGGCTGCGCGATCGGGTATCGGTCTCATTATGGTCATGCGTGTGGTCGCAATCGACAACGTGAGATGGCATGTACTGATGCAGTAGGCGTGAAATGACCTGAATGCCAACAAAGCCTCCAATGAAGCAGGCCATAATAAGGAACCCAGCGATCTGGTCTTGGAAACCATCCTCCTTAAGGTATTGTTTTGCGGATGGGAGCATGTTGTTTAACGCCGAGTAAAGCTGTTTTGCAAGAACAAAGTCAGTATGCGTTCGCCAGAATCCAATTGCGTAGAGCTTCCGGGGTTTAACCCACCATGACACCGAAACTCAGACTTAGAGAGCATGCCAGGAAGGCATTGCTGTCTTGTATCCTAAAGTTGCGTTTCCCGGGGAGGTATCGTATAACGAGGTCGACACAGATGATAGATGCGCCCACGACACAAGCTGTCAAGCAGGCAACAGGTTAGCCAATCTTCGTTGTAGGAGGCCAAGACAGGACGCCGTGTGTATGTTTGATCACCCACCTATTCCGCTCACAATGCACATGATCCACCCTCTGATATCGTTGTCGAGTTCTGTCGACTCCATGATGGGCAGCTCAGCTCAACACCCCCAATCGATGGTTGTATGATGTCTGTGTGCTCGGCGCATGCAGAATGGGATGCGTGATTTGATATTCTTCTCGTATGCGATTCGATCTATCTGGTTCTCGAGTGCTGTCGCAATCCCAGTAGATTGGATACGGTATATGGTTTGGATGGCTGCGTTTCGTTCCGCGGCAGAGCGGCTGGCCTCTGACGTAGGGTGAGGTTGTACGTGCGCAAGGACCCGGTTGGATTACCAGTGGTGTACAGTATGTAGGTTGGTCGTGGAAGACGTAGGTAGGATAGATGGCGTATGAAAGGATATCAAGGTGCTAAGGTGAGGCCTTCGAGGTATTCGCCACGGGTTGGTGAGAAGAGGAGAGGAGCGAGGAGGAGAAGTGAAGGCGTAGGTCTAGGGAACGAAGGAGTGTACGGTGATGTTGCAGAGAGAATAAGGTAAGGTAGTGATGTCGATGGCCGCTAGTGAGATCAAATGCGTCTTTGCGCGCAGACTGGTGGGGAGACTGGGAGAAACTTGTGCGCCTTAAGCTTTCCACCTGCGTGGGACGTGGATTCGGGGGCGCTAGATCTGGCTCTGTTGGCGGGGCCGGTGCGTTGTTTCCTAGTGAGTTGATGACCCATGGCTGGGGAGGGGGGCCCCTTATGGGCCTTCCTTTTTCATGGGCATTTTTTTCTTGCACCGGATTCTGAGAACCTTGATGGCTTTTCCCAGTCAGACTACGGAGTAGTCACCTCAGTATTATGAGGGAGTCTCACGCCCCGACAGAGTCCGTTTCCCTTTCATTCTTACTTGCATGCTTTCTTCTGTTCTGGTCTCGTACCTACAGACTGGTGTTGCTAGGTTTATTCATCCTTCTTTTGGTCGACTGCCGCCCTGCAGCTTGCCGTCTGACCCTCCCCGAAAGCAACCCACCTTTTCTTCCTTTCTGCTGCAGGAAACATGCGGCTCTTTTTCTAACGAGAGTTGAAGCGATGAACAAGCTAACACTAGGTACACTGGGAATTTGTTTCTATCCTGCTGAGCGCGACAAAGTCACAAAACAACACAGAACTGTGCTATTGATCGCCCCTTTATTAGGGATCCCTCGCCCATGTCCCAGACCGAGTCAAGGCATGTTGACAGCTCACGTCCGTGAATGAATCAAGTCTTGGCTTTGAGAACCCGGATGGCGGGACGAGGTATCCACGTACCTTACCTGACCTTACAAAGTATTCCCTCGAGCCCCGTGATGTGCGCTAGCCGCCAACTCACTGAAGCCGCCCGAAGCGCCTTGCTAAAAGAGAAGACTGCGCAACACATGAAAGGTCTGTTTTGCGATTGTGGTTGAAGCGGTATGCTATTGTTGTGTCTTATTTGAATGCTTGATGCCAGTAGGCCAGGATCCGTCTTCAAAAAGAGAGTTTACGTCGCGCGCGCAGGGCAGAAATGCGCCGCGAATCGGAGACTGGGATTTGGTCATCCGCAGGCCCATTCCCTCACCGAGACACAGATCTCGGTGAGTATGTCACACCGAAGTCACCGACCTCAACTTTTCTCATGGGCCCCTGCTCTGAATTCCTTCCCACCCCACATCCCACGGTCCACCTACCTCACGTCGGCAAATGCTCGGGACAAGGAAGCTGCGTGGCTGCATCTCCTGCCGGCTGCCGCACTGAGCTGTTCCCTTTCCGAACAGGTCCCTGGAAATCGCTGCCCCGGGCTATGCGTTGCCGACCGTTGCCCAAAATTTTCCAGCTCCGAGCTCCAGATCCCCGTCCCGTGAGGTGAGACACCCACCACACCAACACCAGCAACATCATCACATGCCCTTTTCTGCTTGCCCCGTGGCTAGAGGAGTGTCAGCAACGGCGGATCCTTGAAATTGGGTAGCTTTTCCAACTTTCTTTCCCACTATCCTACCGTGCCAGTTGCAAGAGACAAACCCAAGAAGGCCGAAACCGTCTCCCCACGAACCGAACCGTCGCCATGTCGAAAACCACTTCCCTCGCCCTCATGGCGCTAGGCGCCGGAGGCGGCGCCGCGCTCACGGCCTCGATCTACTCCATGCGCTCCCAAAAGCAGCCTCCCACCGCAACGACAACGGCACCGACGACAACCTCCTCCTTCTCGACAGCTCCCACTGTCCCCGTCCCCAGCACCCAAGTCTTCGCCAACCCCAACGCCGTCCCTCTCCCTCCCTCACCCTCGGGCGGCCCGGGCCCCATCCCCGTTGCGTCAGGCAGTCCCGTCGACCCAGCAGGCATCTTTGAATACGGCTTCCCGGGTCCCGTAGCCGACCTCGCGACTCGGCAGGGTCTCGTCTCCTCCTTCGACCGCCGCACCCGCAACCCGCACTACGTCGTCGAGCACATCACACCCGCCTCCCTCGCCCAGCGCGATGGCGATCGCAAACACAGCGTCTTCCTCGAAGACGCATCCGTCCCCGAAAAGTTCCAGGCCAAGCTCAAGGACTACTTCCGCAGCGGCTACGACCGCGGCCACCAGGTCCCCGCCGCCGACTGCAAGTGGTCCCAAAAGGCCATGGACGACACATTTTACCTCACAAACATGTGCCCGCAGGTCGGCGACGGCTTCAACCGCGACTACTGGGCCCACTTTGAGGACTTTTGCCGCCGCCTGACGACGCGGTACCCGTCCGTCCGCATCGTCACGGGGCCGCTTTACCTCCCCAAGCGCGACCCCGTCGACGGCAAGTGGTACACCAAATACGAGGTCATCGGCAACCCGCCCAACGTCGCCGTGCCGACGCACTTTTACAAGGTCATCTTCGCCGAGGACGGCAAGGTCGGCGGCAACGTCGCCATTGGCGCCTTTGTGATGCCCAACGCGCCCATCCCCAACTCCAAGCCGCTGTCCGAGTTTGAGATGCCGCTCGAGGCCGTCGAGCGCGCCGCGGGGCTCGAGTTTGCGAGCAAGCTTGCGCCGCAGCGCCGCAAAAGGCTCTGCACCGAGGCGACGTGCGCCATTGTCGTCAAGGAGTACGCGGATAGGCAGAAGCAGATTGGTGGTGGTGGCGGCGGCAAGGGCCGTTCATAGAATGGATCCGTGGGGTTGCTGAAGGACCACGGAGGAGCGCGCGGGGAGGCTGCTTTCCGCTACCTTTGGGATTTCTTCTATTTGGCGGGGATTTAGCAATGAGGTCAGTCAGCTTGGCTTTCGACCGTTCTCCTTTGCTTTCACGTATGTATCATTACTGTGCTTTGGAAGGGGGAAGGCAACCAACGAGAGAGGCACACAGAATAGGAGTTGGCTGCATCGCATATTTGCATACACAGAGCTACGACACAAGCATCATGCGAAGAGATTCAGACCACAAGCAGCGAGGCACATGTACACTAGACAAGCCTGGTCAGTCGGCAGTTGCCGACAGCATGCCTTCACATACACACATGCATCATCACATTATCCAAAGATGAAAATACCTCGAGTACTGTGACTTGACTTGTTTGTGTTTTTTTGGGGTTCCCCTTCCAACGCCAGGGTATCATCAACCCATTTTGTCCTCCTCAAAGCCTCTAATCGTACAAATAGCACTGCCGAGGGCCGGAGTAAATCAAAATCGACAGCTTCCGAATCGTTTTTGTCTCCCCCCCCCCCCCCCTTTACGGCTTACATGCGGCTTCCATTCAGTGTCAAGTCTGCTTTTGCTCTCCTAACGGGACCGCGTGTAGTTTCCCCGTCGCTGCTCTTGCTTAAGACTCTCCTCCTGACTAGGAAGCGGAGCCCGCCTACCACCACGACCACCGTGGTCGTCACGATCTCTATGGTTGTTATTCGCGCCAGGAGGCGGCGGCATGGACATGGGCATGGGCGGGAAGCCCGGCGGCGGCACGAAATTCGGCGGCGGCGCGAAGCCGCCCGGTGGCGGGGGAGGTAAGGTGCCGCCCGCCTTTTGAATCATTTCGGCAATCTTGGCCAGGTCGGCCGGGTTACTCGGGTCGATGCCGCCCGGTAGACCTGGAATCATGGGCGGCGGCGGCGCACCGTTGAGGCCGGGCAGGGGGAATGGCAGGGGCGGAGGGGGGGCGCCGCCTGCGCCGCCGACGCCCGGGATCATGGGCGGTGGCGGGACAGGACCGCCTGCGCCGCCGTTTTGCGGCATCGAGAGGCCCGGCAGGCCCGGCAGTCCCGGCAGTCCCGGTAGACCAGGGAGGCCTGGGAATCCGGGGACCATGGGCTGCTTGAGGGGCATCTTCTGGTCGACGAGGCCGTCCATCTCATCTTCCATCTCCATTTCCTCCTCCTCCTGGCGCTGGCGGCGCCCGCCCCGGCGGTCCCATGTGCCGTTGGCCTCGGCAGCGGCCTCGCCGACGTGGTAGCGGTCCTGGAAGACGTCGGCGTCGCCGGGCCGCTTGCGGGACCAGAAGCGCGTGATGCGGTCGTTTGAGCCCGAGGCGAGGATGTGGCCGAGCGGGTGCCAGTCGAGGGACCAGATGGCAAAGTCGTGGGCAAAGGGGACCTTGTGGGCGGGGTATATCGTCTGCGCCGGGGTCGTCGACGGGTCGGAGCTGTCGTAAGGCGCTACGGAGTTTGCGTGGCCGGCGGGCGTGTTGGGCTCGTCTAGGATGTAGTGGTACAAGGAGCCGTCGTGACCGCCTGTGCTGAGGAGATTG